GAAAAATTTCCTCTTTAATTTCCACTGGTATTTCACGGTTAGCAGACGAGATGCGCATAAGTTGGACCGGAATCAATAAATGATTATGATGAAGAATAGCTTGTAAAATATAATATATATCATCATTTCGGTTATGATTGAGATGAATAAACCACGGGCAATTGCATTTTTTCGATTCTACATTTCTGTTCTTTTTATTGGGATCTTTAGACTTTGGTTTGAACAAACCATAGCAATCACAAGCAAAGACTTGAATGGAACGCACGCCATCACTACGATTGTTGCCTTTGTAGAGAATCATCTTAAATCCATTTGTTCTGGCATATTGATCAGCAATATATTTGAAGACTTCAAGAGAGGAGTAAGCCTGGCCATGTTGAAAAAGTGAGCTTTCAGGTTCCAGTGAGATTCCGGGTTCCTTATTATAATCACGGTTTTCATTAGAGGTGGTAGATTGGCTCAGAACAATTTCTTTAAAAATGTTAAAAACACAATTAGTCTTTTTACAAAAAATATTAAATGACAAACAAACATCTTACTGTCTTGTATTATTGCTTCTTGATGTATACTCGGTGTAATACTAGCCATTGTTCAGATTTGACAAGATGTAAAAACAATACAACGAATGGAATGAACTTGGATGATGAGGTGATGATGTTAAATGAGGAGGTAATGTTCATACGAAATTTAAACTGGAACAAAGCTTCACCACCTACGCACAAGAATCTACGCACAAGAACCTACACACAGCACACTAATAAATGAACAAACATACGCGTACAATAGGAAACAATATGTGTGATTGTGTAATATCGTCGGGGACTTGCTGCACATGGCTAAAGCAGAGCAATTTTCACGTGATGCAGAATGCATCAGTATTACTGATGTATACGTATTTGACTGGTTTGTTTTTGCTTTTTGTTCTTTTTATTTTGCTTTTTGTTCTTTTTTATTTTATTTTTTGATCTTTTTTATTTTTGCAACCAACACAAACAACGTGAATACCAAAGGCAATTAACGCAACATGGATACCAAAGGTAACCAAGTAACCAAAAGCAACCAAGTAACCAAAGATAACCAAGCAACGTGAATACCAAAGGCAACCAACACAACGTGGATACCAAGGCAACGTGGATACCAAGGCAACCAAGCAATCAAAGGTAACCAAGCAACGTGAATACCAAAGACAACCAAGCAACGTGGATACCAAAGGCAACCAAGCAACGTGAATACCAAAGGCAATCCATCATGAATAGTTGAAAAAATTCGTGTTGACGCATTTGTATTGCGTTGGTTGTCTTTGGTATCCACGTTGCTTGGTTGCCTTTGGCAGTGTTGTTAATTTTTGCTTCCAGTGGATTTTTATAGTGACTGGAAATCCATTGGAAGATTCAATTTAATATTAATTTCACTTTCAGTAATCTTTCAATGGTCTTCCAATGATCTTCCGAATGCAATAACACTGGTCTTTGGTATCCATGTTGCGTTGGTTGCCTTTGGTATTCACGTTGCTTGGTTACCTTTGATTACTTGGTTGCCTTTGGTATCCATGTTGCGTTGGTTGCCTTTGGTATTTACAGTTGCCTGGTATTCACAGTTGTCTTTGGCATCCACATTGCGTTGGTTGCCTTTGGTTGCCACATTACGTTGGTTACCTTTGGTTGCCACGTCACGTTGGTTGCCATGTTACTTGGTTGCCTTTGGCATCCACGTTGCGTTGGTACCTTTGGTTGCAATATTACTTGGTTGCCTTTGGTTGTCACGTTGGTTGTCTTTGGCATTCACATTGCGTTGGTTATCTTTGGTATCCACGTTGTGTTGGTTACCTTTGGTTGCCATGTTGCGTTAGTTGCCTTTGATTATTACGTTGCGTTGATTGCCTTTGGTTGTCACGTTGCGTTGGTTGCCTTTGGCATCCACGTTGCTTGTGTTGGTTGCAAAAATAAAAAAGAACAAAAAGTAAAATAAAAAAGAACAATAAGCAAAATAAAAAAAAACAAAAAGCAAAAACAAACTAGTCAAATACGTATACATCGGTAATACTGATGTGACATGAAAACTGCCAACCCCCATATAAGTCCGGCTCAGACTGTCCGACACATTGTCTGCCGTGTGATCACGTGTAATATATATCACGTGATATTTTCGTTTTTTGATTGGCTAATCGGACCAGAGATATATAAGTTATATATCTCCAGCCAGAGATACCTATAATTACCCAAATTTTATTGGTATTTTATTTTAATATTGGATATACTGGCAATATTGGAGTAATACTTTATAATAATTTGGACAAACTATATACTATTCAATCAAATGAAAAGATTGCTCAAGCTATATTCTTATTATTAATAAAAATTTCTAATTTAAAAATTATTAACACATAAGAAGAATTAGGAAATTTAGAAAGAGATCAACAAGAATTTGATTCATCAGGAAGATTCAACTCAAATTTTGATTTTGAAGATAAATTAAAATTGAAAATTGAAAAAGATAAAATTTCTAATCAACCACTTTTTACAATTAAAGAAGAATGAAATAATCAAGTAATCTTAGACATCTAAATAAATGAAAACTATACTCAACTTGAAGATTAATAACTTTTTCATTTAACTTATGAAGAATTGAAATTACTAATATTTTTATAAAAATGATAAGATGCTCAAAGATTGTTTAAAATATAATCAAGAACAAAACTTATATTAATAATTCAAAATGATTCCTGAATTATTATTTTAATTCACAACAAATAAAGAAACTAATTTAATTGAGAAATAATAATGACAAATAGACTGATTATTAACTAAATATAATGATTTATTTAATATAACAGATTCTGGAAAAACTAATATAATTCAATATTATTGTATAATGGAATTTCACATCAATTATTAGTCAAAATTATCATTTAATCTTATTGAATAATTTTGAGAGCACATGTTTATATTTAATTAGTTAAGATCTTCTTATTTACATTTCATATTACATTATTATTTGTACTATTATTTATA